CAGTGTTTCCGTGTCCAAAACAAAATCCTTATGGGATAAACAGCAGGATGATTTGAAATAGTGGAATTTCCGTTCCGATCGAATCGGAGTTCGAGCCAGGCTGACTAATTGAATGCGCATCACTAAAGTCCCAAGCTCGATGTATTACGGTGAGTCCCGGCTAATAAGAGTAATACTGTGATTCACATGTGATATTGGGACGGCACTTTTGTCTGCACATTGCCTGCAGATTGAATACACTGCGATACGCATATTTCCAGATGTTCCATGGAGCGAACGTTGGGGGGACAAAAATAATTCAAACGACTGCAACACGAAGGGTATTAGAAGAATCTTTTTCGTTCGTTGTGCGTCCCAGCTACCGACATCTAGCGACGAAGAAGTCTATGCACATGATCTGGAAGGAGGACGGTACACCCGTGAAGCTCTAGGTGACAGTGAGGTCATGCTTCAGTCGATTGCACGGTTACCGGTGTAGCCTCACTACAAGAGCAGTGACCCGAGGATACTGAAACTGGTACAGTCACAACAGATGGCGGCGAAATTACTCCGCAGCAGGCAGATACTGCACAACACTTTTACTTTCGAACTACGACTGAGGACAGCAGTTAGAGAACCACAGTCACTAGCTGTCCTCGCGGAAACAACACCAACCACGACTCAACAGTGATTCAGGAAACTGTGCGCTAAGATCAGTAGCTATCGAGAAAGATACCGATGGGCTACATATCGTATGTACTGGTGAGACCAAAAACAGTTTGCATTCATATCGTGATTTGGCAAGTCACCCAAAAACGATTAGATGCCAGCTTCTCATAGGTCGCCACAAATTCACCTCTTGCATATACTCGCTTTTTTGCATCAGGCTGAAACGGCGACAAAGAGGGGCATCCAACACGTGGTCCTTCTAAGGCGTGCTTTCTGACAATTTGATATGTAAATTTTTAACAGCTTCTTGGCTCATACATATGTCCACATGTGGAATATTCAATACTGATTAGGCATCCGGTTAGGTCAGAGGCAAAATAAGCTTCATGTACCCAGATGGGTATGTTTCCGTGCCTTAAAATATCGACTACGGATGAGATAAAATTACATTATCAGAAATGGGAAATTGTATGAATGGAAAAAGTACACTGTGTAGAGGTGTCACTTGAATAAACGATTATTGTAAACGAGCAAACAATTGAACAGTCCCGGAGAGAAATACATAAAGCCAGCGTTGCAAGCTAGGTTTTCGATCGGGACCGTCCATCTTCACTTGCGCAGTATCAAGTTTTTTCTCAACAATCACGCTAAGGCCAGCCGTGATGAGCTTGAAAATAGTTTGACAAATATCAGTGTTGACGTATTCAGAGCAAACGAATGCATCCATATTGAAATTACAAAAACGATTTTCAGTGACAACATCACGGCCGATTTAAAGGCACCGCCAGGACGGAGGAGAAATCTCATTACCTTGGAGAAACCCAAACCCCGGGCAACCAAGAAGGTCGAAGTTTTGTATAATTTGCCGTATGAACGAAGGCTCCTGGCGCTCGGAGTATTTAGCGCACAATAACATTGGTTGTGGGTGGCCTTCATTATGATTTATTAGATTTTGAGAGAACCCAACTAAACGTGCTGCTACTTGCTAGAGCTCAGTCGTAACAGTAATCTGCGAGGTCAGCATCTCGAGCTGTCAGAGCAGTAGAGTCGTTTGTAATGCTGTCGGAATTTCTTTTCTTTACGCGTTTGTCCTACCGGAATCAATCTGTGCTTCAGCGGTGGCAGAATTCAAGGCTCGATTTGACCGTGTACTCGTTTAGTTGCATCAACTAACATGACTCATTGTCCATGGCCAAACACGATAGCCTGTTCAAGATTTCATTGACGGTCACGGACGGAATACGTTCCAGCTTTTTCACCTCCGCTTGTGTTGATCTGGAGATGGCACGATTTTTAAACAACCTGTTTGTCATTACTTCCCATGGATTTACAGTGGGTTTACATTTTAGAATACATATACCGCGGTGAGTCACCTAGTGTGAACCTACGTTTACTGACTATTTTGCCATATTTTAAACTTTCACATGACCTTCCTACGGGACTTGTAAAGCATGAGCTTTTGACCCGTATAAAACCATTATTTAGTGCAAGAAGAAACGCAAATGGTATGCCTAAAGCGAACAACTGTTTGCGATTTATTCATCATCGAGCTTGTTACAGAAATATACAGTCGGGAAACAGAGAAAAACTATTGATTGAACACTCAAAAGCATTCTCGAAAACATTGCGAACGCACTACATTCGCCTTACAACAAGCAGCTTGAAGCGTTATGCGCAAAACATTATAGAATCAGCAAAATCGAAGTTATCTGAGACTGAACGACATATAGCACAAAGGAAATCCGCCCTGGACGCCATCAACGATGATGAAGGAGTCCGGTTTATCAAGTATGTACGCAACGTGACCACCAAGCGAACATCCAAGAGATTATTCCTGCAGAAAGCGCTGACCGTGAAAGAATGTTCGAACACACTTTCATCAAATCCGGAAAGATATGTATACAATATATCCAGTGTGTGACTAGACACCTTACAAATGCAAACTGTTTCATTGGGCCTTAGGTTTTGCAATCCACGAAGTAATGATAAACGACTAGAAACCGAAACTCAATTCGGATACCTTAACAGCCAGACAAGCGATTTAGTAGCCACTTCCAACACCAGCCTCGAACAATTTAAATCAGATTTGGTCAACATTTCCTTTCAGTATCAACGATACCCCATGACACATACCCGATTACTAACAAAGGCCCATATCGAAGCCATAAGAGAACTTCAGCAAAACAAGGGATCATAATCATCAAACAAGGTAAAGGATCGGGAGCTGTGAACATGGACCGCATTGAATATGTGCAAAAAATGAACTTTATCTTCTTGGATTCCTTCAAATTAGTACAATGTGAGCGAGAGAAGGGCAAAACAGATTACACAGAAGCAAAACTGAGTAGGTGTTTGAAATCATTGGTTACTAATGGCCACATGACTAATGAAAGATATGAAAGGCTAAGACCTACCGGCTCCATAATTCCTAGACTTTACGGTCTCCCAAAAATACAAAAGCCGAGTGCACCATTGCTACCGAATTTGGAAATGAGGAACTCGAGATATCACAGCATCTCAAAATGCTTAACGTCTATTATGGATCCTATTAGGAAAATGATAGACCCTCATCAATTTACGGACACATTCAAATTTGTTGAAAACGTTAAAACCATGAACATCTTAGACTAACAAATGCTTTCTCTGGACCTGGTATCTGTTCACGAATATCCCATAGCTAGCAACAGTCACCTTTTTTGTACTTACATTGAGCAGCACAAGACAAAGATGGAGAAAAGAAATGTCCACCTAAAGTAGCTATTACTCAGATGCACCTATAACATCCAATTACAATTCAAAAATGAATTATACAGAGAAGTTGATGGCGTAGCGATGGAATCACC